ATGTCAATCTCTTAATTTATTCAAAATTACTTATAAGAAACACTTTTTCTGATTTCACAATTCATTTCCTATTTTCTTGGTCTATACTTTTAACATTTATTCCCGGCCCCGAAACTTGGACTCAGAAATACCGGGATGGTGTCCGGCGGGGGATAGTTTTTACCATTGATTAGTTAGGTTTGTAGTTAAGATAAAAGTTGTGACAGCCCCGAAACCTTGACTCAGAAATACCGGGATGGTGTCCGGCGGGGGATAGTTTCTACCATTTTTATCTATTTAAGTAATTATACAGTATTTGTCCTACCTGGTAATCCCGGCCCCGAAACCTTGACTCAGAAATACCGGGTTGGTGTCCGGCGGGGGATAATTCTTACCATATTGTAGTTAAGTTGTAGTTAAGCATAACCGGCCCCCTGGTCCCCGGCCTAGATGCTCGCTTGGCTCGCATATTGGACCTTATTAAACCACCCCCCCCCCACACTTTTTTTTTTTAAATTATTATATTATTATATGGTTGGAATATAATAATATATTGCCTATGTCTTTTATTTTTTTTCTCTATGTATAGGCCTAAAGAATGGGATTAAATTACCTGACCCTTTTCAAGAGGGGGAACCTTGAATTGTGAAGAACTTAAAGGTCATTAAAAGACTCCTCAGAAGTCGGGAAAGCTCATTTCCGGCCATCCAGGTATCCAAATTTTCCCGGCCCCCCATCGTTTTGGGTTTTGGAAACATTTCGAATCCCCCTTTTTCAAATCTTGGATCCGCCCCTGCTACTGCATAGGAAGTTACATATACTTACCGGATACACCACATGATACATAGGCCGCAGTGCATGAGCTATCCGCAGAGGAGCTTAAACTTGACGTTCGTGGGCATTCCATTAATGTTGCTTCATTCCCATTACACAAGAACACGTCTTGTATAGTGTTTTTGGTAGAGTACTCTTCGCCTTCTACCGTAAAAACATTACCTAGACCTACACCAGGGAATCAATTAATTAATTAATTAATTCATTCATTTTTAATCAGCTGGAGTTAATTCATGAGTCATGGGCAACAAGTTTTTTCAACTATTATTATATATTATTATTATTGACTACTATTTGTCACCGATTACTGATACTCACAAATCATTAGGTACAATCGGGTGGCAACAATAACAGCAACAACAACAACAATAATAATAATAATATTTATTATTATTATTATTATTATTATTATTATTATTATTATTATAGTAATAGTTTATTCCAAATAACTATATCATATTATGGTAATGGTGAAAAACTGCAAAATCTACATATTATTATTATTATTATTAGTAGTAGTAGTAGTAGTAGTAGTAGTAGTAGTAGTAGTAGTAGTAGTAGTAGTAGTAGTAGTAGTAGTAGTAGTAGTAGTAGTAGTAGTAGTAGTAGTAGCAGCAGCAGTAGCAGCAGCAGCAGCAGCAGTAGTAGTAGTATTACTATTATTATAGATGATGGCGATGAAGATGCAGACGATAATAATATAAATAATATTAATAACAATCAACCGATTTTACCTAAATGATCAGTTCGGTGAGAAATAAAATGCTGATACACTTGTATACTGGTGTCAGCACTTGTCATCAATCGTCTGATCAGAATCCTACAATCAGGTTTGGTGACGTCATCATTTATTTATTTTATTTTATTTATTTATTTATTTAGGCACACAATACATGTGCCAAGGATTGTCAATAGCGACTATATCACTGTCCCACTTGTAGGTGCCAATCCCTTTCACAAGACAAACATACACACACGATGATTTACACAAACTAAATCTCAATGTGAGATTTAGGGAGTGGAGTTGTTTTGGTCGTGAGCAAAAATCCTGCAATACTGACAGGAGTTGAACCCAGGACCCTGGGATTGGAAGGCAAGCATCTTAACCATAAGCTATTAAACTCCACTCGTGGACTACTATTTGTCACCGAAACTGATACTTATCAGATCATTTAGGTACAATCGGGGGGCAACAATAATAATTATTATTATTATTCTATTAATAGCTTATTGTAAATTGCTAACTATATCATATTATAGTAATGGTGGAAAACTGCAAAATCCTACATATTTAAATGGCAATATCATTTTAAAATATTTATCAGGGTTTTTTCAATAACAATATACAGTACTCTGTTCCTTCATGTCTGTTATACAGTAATAATTAATGCTTCATTATGAAGGTTGCTCGTTGTTTTGCAATAAAACATATTATACTGCTATATATTTAGTAACTTAATGCTTTAATTTTTTTAAATACAAAAACATAACCTGAGATTATATTGGTATGCTAACCTAATTGTCTGCAAGCGACACGTCCGTCTTCAATATCCCAGTAATCATTACATATATACTTCAATTGATTGTCTTGCAGAACTTGTATGTAGCCCCAGAATAAACCGCCTTGCAGCTGAATAGATGTATTCCATTGGCCATAAACTAAGGTAGAAAAAAAGTGAGTAAAAATTGCAATGACTGGTGTATATGAATATCCCTGTAGCTATTTTGAACACTCAAACTGATTTTTAACCAGATTTATAGTGGATCCTAGAAAGTCGGCTGATATTCAGGGACCCGCTTAAATGAAATAACGTGATTCTCTTCTTATCAGCTAAGTCTCTTATGAGAATTAGGGAGTGGAGTAGTTTTTATACGTGGAAAAAGTCCTGTTGTCACAGAAATTGAGCTCAGGACCCTAAGATTAGAAGGCAAGCATCTTAACCACTAAGCTATTCAACTCCACTCCAATGACTCATTAGGCCTACCATGGCCTAGGTACAGTACCGGTACCGTACCATTTTTTGAATGCTAGCAATTCAATAAGGAAAACAACTGCAAAAATGATAGGTCAGGTCTAACCTGTGTGCAACTTTTAATCCAAAAGATAATTTTCTGAACTTCAATGTAAAATAGCTAGCAAACCATCAAGATAAAATTTAGTAGAAATATATTTTGGACACGGTACTGAAGACAGAAAAGGTAAAATCATGAAGACAACATTATGCATTAATTTTGAAGTGGAAATTATCGATATATAGGCCTATTATATTTTTTTTTTAGCGAGCTCTATAGTTTTGCAATATACCTTGTAACCGTATTAGTAATCGACCTATGACCATGATGAATGATAACAAGTTATAAAGAATCATAATGAACGTCCCACGCAAACAATGGTGTACTACAGGTTACACTCGCTTTATAACAATAGCAAGGAATGAGGGTTTGGCCGTACAATGCAATTCCTTCAGTATCGTGCTTGCTTTTGAGAATCCAATAATGTATTATTGATGGGCCAATGGGTCTAGTACATGCGTTAATTGCAATTTAGCATACTAGGTTATACTGTATTCTTAATGGCTCTCTCACATATTTTATTTAAGGTTTGTGTATTGAATCCATGCCGTATACAGTGTGTGTGTGGGGGTGTATGTGTGTTAGTGTAATGATATATATAATCATACTCACAATTACATCAACACTGAGTATAAATAACAAAAACAGTAGCAAAAACAATAGCAAGTGCAATAACAACAGCAGCAGCTAGCAATCGAACGCAACAATGACAATAATATAGTAACAATGATAATATTTATTTTATTTTTATCTATTTCATTTCAAACATATTTATACAGGATTAAAAACATATCAGGTGGTTGTTATAGTCTGTTTTCCATATGGTCCTGTTCAAACTTACACTAAGGAGATAAAACAACATTATACATCACGCTTCGATAAATATTAAATTCGAATAAAGCAGTGATTATGAGATGGTAAAAACGCGGGGCCATTATTTTACAATCGCGCGCTAGATAAAAAGTTCAACATTTTAATTTATACCAAAAAATTGGAAACATCAAAACGTAGCGGTGATAAAATCGGAATGATGAAAAAAAATATATAAAATTTACAAGATGAAACAAAAATGGATGCCAAAAATAATTAAGAATATCAGAGCACACAAATATACACATGGACATGAACCATACCGCACTCATGCCAACATATTCAGTAAGGCGTGGTTTTCACGAGAGCCCTAGTATCCGGATCGGGAGCTAACCGTTAGCGCTAACCGTTAGCACCTGCGTGAGAACGCCCGATCGGTTAGCGCTAACCGTTAGCGGTATGCGGATACCGCCAACGGTTAGCAAGCGCTATCGGTTAGCACGTTGAGCGCGTTTTCTATCATCAACTAATCACACGTACGCGTTTACAATTTCCAGTTTCTTATTGGCCAGTTATTCGATCATCATATTCTTGGTATCGGGATCGGGATCTTCTCGTATGGACGCACGGCAGCGGTTAGCAGGATCCGGATCCTACTAACCGTTAGCTGCCGTGTGAGAACATAGCCTAAATGTATAGGCCTACACTGAATATAACACTCGCACAATACATGTATGTATGAGCATGCACACGCACGTAATACATGCATGTACGATGTACTCATCATTACAGAAATATATATACGTATAATACATCGCACTCAGTAAGAAAAAAACATTTACACAAACACGTCCACCGTCATACGCACTATAAAAATGCATACATATAATATATAAATCATGATATATAGGCCCCTATACATGATTACATAGGCCTATCACATATGAACGACCATGTTTGTATTATATAATAATACAAACATGGTCGTTCATATGTGATAGGCCTATGTACAATACAACTTTAAATTAAAATGCAATATACTAAATTAATTTCAAAATAATGATTTTTTTTTCTATGAAATAGTTTTTTACAAAATAATTTGAAATTACGAAGGTTATCCAAGTCTTTCAATTCGCGACGCAACTCATTCCATACATGCACGCCAACATAATTATCTGAGTTTAAGTTTTCATTGTTTTTACATTTCTTTTAGGTAGTATTATAATTGAGTGAGTCTGGGTTTCTGGTGCTATATCCGTGTCGGAATACCATTTCAATTTCGTATTTTGTCGTGAAGGTGCTGCAGTGAAAGCATTTATACATTAAACATGCAATAGCATAATCTTGTCTTTTTTCTAATATGTTCCATGACAGGTTATTAATTATATCTTCGCCATGTATTGTGTGAGAATCAAAGTTATTGGTAACTACGTGGTGCCTTCTTGCATTCGATGGACACTGTTTATTATTATTGTTATTTCCCCAAACTGAAACACCATAATCCATACATGGCTGTTTTGTTGTTAGATATAGTTTTACTAATAAATAGTAATATTAATAATAATATTAATAATAACAAAAACAATAGTACTACTAATTATAATACAGATTTATATAGCACTCATATTTATTTTCAAATGAAGAGCTTAATTAGTTTAAACAATAATTTTCGAGAAAATCAAAATCAAATTATGAGTTATTGGACATGCTTGAAAATTAACTTGAACTGAAATTGGCATTATTTACCATTAGAAAGTTTCAACGAATTACGTTCTCTTCTATTACTTTATCTTTTCAATTTTAGGAATTAGCTACTTAATAATGTTTGCGGCAATTCCTTTAAAATAAACGGAAAAAAATAATAAATAAAAATTTAATATAATTATGAGGATGGTCTATCTTTCTAGCAATGCTTCTTTTCCTATTGAAAGCGAATTCATGTGACTTATGTTCGACAAAGGATAGGAAAAAACGAAGAAAGATAGGCATGTCGTGTTATATAGCCTTATGCTTGTACCTGATAAATGGGCTTACAACATGCTTTATATAGATATTTTGTAATTTCTATAGCTAGTTTATGCTAGCAGCTATTTCATGCTGGTATATAACTATTTCAATTCTATGTATAAATAAATATTCTATGCTTTCTATGCTATTTCAATGCTTTCTATAGCTTTGATGCTTGTACCCGATAAAGTGGGCTAAAGATAAACATCTTGCGTGCTACAATACAATGCAATACAATATACTTTATTCGCTACTAAAAACAGTTGAATTGCACATACATAAGAAATTTAAAAATTGCCTTAAAAGTTAAAAATATCAAAACGGAGACGGTAAACAAAATAACACAAAAGAGCAAAACAGAGAATATTATCATACTTATTAGTTATAATTATTATCAAAGTAATAATAATTATAACAATACTATGAGTTCATTATTATTATTATTATTATTATTATTATTATTATTATTATTATTATTATTATTATTATTATTATCATTATTATTATTATCATTATTATTATTATCATTATTATTATACTAGTTTTTGTGAAAATTAAGAGAGTGCAAAAAAAGAGTGAACCGTTTCGGCCATTGTTGGAGCAGTTCATCCGACTATGCAGAGACAACCTACCATTTTCTGAAAAGACCAGCATTAATAATAAAACTTTTGCACCGTTCTGTCCGAACTTTAGGGAGATGGAATTGTTGTGTGGACCTGAGGTTGTATTTATGGGTTGGGGCAGTTGGTAAAAGTGAGTGAAGTCTGTGTGATTGGTCTTTTATTTTCTGGAAGTATTGTTTGCATGTCGGGTGCGCAGGTCTGCCAACTTTGGGATATCAACGAGGGACAGTGCTCTATCATAGCTTGTATCAGGGTCAATGTTTCGAAGCGCTCTGCGCTGGATTTGTTCAAGCTCAAATTGGATTGATGACAATTAGTAAGCCCTGTACCAGACACTGGAGCAGCATATTCTAGAACTGGTCGAATAATACTAATATAAAAATAAACAAGGGCACTCTGATTGAGGCCACATTTTCGCAACTGTTTAAGAAATTATAGTCTGGAGTTAGCCTTAGACATTGTAATATCAACATGGGCTTGCCATGATAAAATTGTACTGATTGTTGAACCAGGAGTTTTATTATGTCAACATTCTCAATGAGATTGTTGTCTATAATGATAGCATCAAACTTGGTTGAATTCTTTTTCCAACTAAAACCAATCTCAACGGGGTTTTTTTTTGGATTAAGAGTCCTGTGATTTTCGCCCCTACCTGTATATTGTCGAAATGATTGGCAAGCCCCCTGAACCACTTTCAAAACCTTTTAATCGAAGCTCGACCACACCCACTTTGCTGTCGTCAGGGAAATCTGACCCCTCGTCGGGGGAATCTCCCCCACCCCGGTCG